GAAAACCTTAGAAATGATACAGAATTTCACTTTTGAAACAACAAAATGATAGAAATTCAACAGTGACTTATTTTGCGTATTTGTTGTCTTCAAAGTAGTTGTTCAGATTATCAGATACAAGCTTGCAGAATTGGTTAAAAAATAGTCACAGAAAATTGCTGACTTCCAGCCTGCTTCATGTTCTGTTGCTACAACATAGGCCTCTTTCTAAAACTGGAATTTTCTACCTGTTCCATGATATGCCAAAGATGTTTGATATTTAGACAGATGGGGTAAACCGAACTGCATGTATTGCAGGTTAATAATAAGCTTCTGTTCTGGAGGGTTAACAACCTAAGTTAGCAGTTCAAAATTGGAGAAAAGGAAGGGCTGCAAGGTTAGCCAACATTTTGGCCCTGGCCTTTCAAGGTCATTGAAGACTCGGGACATAGGAGAACCTGTACTGTAACACCATGTAACTCAGTTGTGCTCCAGATTTTCTGATCAAGAAGATTGTGCAGCCACAGAGGAATGTGAGCGATGATGTATAGTGTGCCTGGGGAGAGTCACATGGAGAGAAAAAATATTCTCTCAGGCTTTCACAGAGAGCAAATTGGTCAAGCAATGGCTGTGACTCATGCTCATGGTTGACACAAAGGATCTACAAAGGGCGGTACAGGGCTACGGGATAAATCTGAGGGGACTTGACTGACCTTGTCAGATACAAAAGTCGCATTTCGTGCTATAGAGGTCTTGCTTTATCTTGGTCTTAACCACCCAGAAGAAAAGTATAAAAACAAGGTATATAAAGTAAAGACATATTAATACGATGAACTGTAAAAGGCTCAAGTCAATAACTTCTGGGGATAACCCACTAATATTATAGACTGCTGGACAGTGTTGGATTGTTTAGCTGAATTCAAACACTTATAGTATTTAGATGCCAATAGAATATTGCTAATCTAACAAGTGTTAGATTGTTTAGTTGAATTCAAACACTTATAGTATTTAGATGCCAATAGAATATTGCTAATCTAACAAGTGTTAGATTGTTTAGTTGAATTCAAACACTTATAGTATTTAGATGCCAATAGAATATTCACCTCTGACAGGACTAAACAAAAAAAGGGGATACAAAAGAAAGATCACTTTGTATTCATATATACAAAATAGTTAAGATAGATATACAGCTACTTTCGCTTAATTCAATGAGAAGAAAGAGGTGTACTAATAGTATTTGGACAGGCTATCCTGTCTGCTTCTTGTCCTATGGATAACCACTAAGAAGATAGCAATGTACAATGTATTGATTATCGAAACTGTCTTATTCAGCTTTGAAATTGTCTCATTTATATTTATTTCTCAATAAAAAATTAAATAAAATAAAAGTAAAAATGGAATTTTCCTGAACACATAATGTTTTGGAGCTTTTGTAGTTTTCAGTAATGTCTTGAGCATTTTTGCTCTTGCATTACGTAATCTTAAGCGTACTTAATCAGTGCCAGTACAGCACTGCACTGGAACTGGCTGACAGCGTCTGTCACTGATGTCTGATTAGACCAGCTCCCCGGTGTGCTTACCACTGCTTGGCTGGGTAGCTCTGTTTGCCAGCGACCAGAGATCTGCAGGAATGAGTGACTTTGAGCATCCTGGAGCACCCCAAGGACTTACTTCTTTAGCACAGCCTTCTAGAGAGAACCTCCGTGACTGCGGCTCACACCTCGGCCAGGGTGGGTGGGGAGGAGGGAGAGCCCGCCCTCCCCTTCGGGAGCCCCTGGGGACCTGGTTTCTGTGTCTGAAGGACGCCACGTTGCCGTGGGAGCTCCAGAGCCCTGACAGCCACATGTCGGGGTGCAGAATGCTTTCAAGGCTGCGCACAGCGACTGCTGATGAGGTATCCTGGGATCAGCAGTCCTTGGGTGCTTGAAGCGCAGTCCTTCCCGCCGAGCGGCAGGTGCCGGGCTGCTGTTGTACTGAAATACCCAGGGTCTGCGTAAGATGGAGTCCTTATATATAAATGCAAAAGTAAGCATGCATGTACTCTTTGAAATATGCTTGTGTGTGTATACACATTTTTCCATGTACATGTGTGCATATAGACACGTATATACAGAAATGCATATATGTTATGTATTGCACAGTCTCTATATAAAACAGCTCATAGAATGTAGCATACCTCGCCCTCACATACTAATCTAGAAGAGACAAGAATATGCGAGAATCCTCATTAGCAGGGCCCTGGGCAGGAGGGACGCAAACTCTCCCACCCAGGTAGCCAGGGGCGGGCCAGGTGAGGGCCAGCGGGTTAAAACCCAGGGGCCCTGCCCTCCAGCTGTGGGCCAGCGTGACCCAGGGCGGCCGCTGTGTCCCTAGGTGCCCAACTGAGGACCTCCTGGATGACGTGTGGGCTGAGGTGGCTGAGGTGGCCCAGCGCATCCGGGGCTGTGGATCCCTGAGTTCTGGGTCCCTCGAACCAGCTGACTGAGGACTCCTAAAGGGCGCCACCTGCTGGCCTGCGCGAGGCCACCGCGTCCCCAAGGAGGCCTCCCTCCGGAGCTGCTCCTCTGGGACCGGTTTGAGGGTGCTTTCTCCAGGAACTCAGCGTCGCAGAGAGCTGTTGTCAGGGAAACCCAAAATACAGCGAGTGTGCAAGCAGAAATGGAAGCCTGACTGCAGTGAGAGACGCGCTGCCGTTAGTCCTCAAACCATGCGCGACTCGGCACACGGTCGCCCGGTCCTTGCCCCTTCCCGAGGGTCTTTGGTTCCCCGCCTGCCGTTCCTGCCGCGGGGCCCTGAATCAGTTCAAAGCATTTCCCTTCCGTGGTCCGGAGGCCTCGGACCTGGTGAGATAGGAGAGGGTCCAGCGGCGCGTGCAGTGGCACCCACCGCCTTTCTGATCGCGCCCCCTCACGACACAGGAAGAGGATTCCAGAGCGCAGGAGCCTGGGATCAGGGTGCTGGCAGCGTGCACGCCCCCAGGAGGGGTGTTTTGAGGGGGCAGCGGCAGTGCACCTCTTGCTGCAATGACTCACTGAAGCTGTTTGCTCCAGCCGCCTGGGCTGGCTTTCAGAAGACTGCACCGTGGCAGCTGTTTCTGTGGGGTGCGTGAGCCTCGTGGGAGCGGGCTGGGGGCGCGAGAGAGGCGTGCCTGTGGTCACCGGTGCTGCTCTCCATCCTTCGCAGGAGGAAGATGAAGGCCCGCGCTCCCCCGCCTCCTGGAAAGCCTGCCCTTTCCAGTGTGCCGGCAGAGCCCAGGCTGCCCCGCGACCCGGCTGCTGGCTGCTGCCAGAACCTGACCCACCAGCAGGAGGCGCTGTGCAACAGCACCCTGGATGTCACGGTGGTCCTGCCCAGCGGGCTGGAGAAGCAGAGTGTGGTGGATGCGAGGTAAGCACCTGCGCCAGGGTCCCCACACCTGAGCAAGGGCAAGGAGAGAGCCGGACAGTGTGCGCGGGGTGCCCGCGTTGGGGCTGACCCCACGAAGGCCACAGGGGTGTCAGGGCCTTTTCTGGGTAGAGCTGCCCTGCTGAGCCATGCCCTGGGTGATGGTCTAGCCAGAAATGGGGTGTGTACCTTGTAAATCGCTTCATGGGCCACCTGAGCGGAAGCGGGAGGAGCCCTGCTGCTGCCAGCCTCTGCCTGCCGAGGTTGGCATGGTGGCCTTGGACACCACGCTCTCCCCTGTGCTCAGGAGGCTGTGGCCCTCTTGGGTGGCAGCACCAGCGTGGCGGCAGGGGCTGCGCTGCAGTGCCTGGGATCCTGCTTGTGGCTTCACCCTGAGGTGGGCACAGTCCTGGAAGACACCCGAGGCCCAGCCGGGGCCAGCACCTGACATCTTTCCTTTGGACCCAAGAAGGGTGTGGGCAATGTCAGTCTTAAAATGGTCTAGAATATGCACGAATGTGAGAAGTGCTGCCTGCACATGTACTGTGGCCTGTGCACCGTTCCTGCACATGAGCCAATTCTGGGTCATGTGTTTTTCTAAAGAAAAAGTAGCATAGTATCAGGTGACTCTTCTAGATGTGGGGCAAAACTACTTGTCTGGGAAGGAAAAATGGCTTTTGGAAGCTGCTTCTTAAGGCATACCCCTTAGGCACCTTCTTTTTTCCCTGATGAAACAGCAGTCACCAACATGCAGCTCGGCGAGGTTCCCGAGACGAGGAGCCGCCTGAGTGTTTGGGCAGCCCCCTCTTACCCCCAGTGAGTCAGGGTCCTGAGCCAGTGGGGCAGAGCGGGTCCCAGGCTCCTCGAGGGCCTGTGCTTGGGGAACAGGTTCTGTGTGCAGCATTCTGAGCTCAAGAGCGGGCGGAGGCCCCTGCTCGCAGCTCCTCCCCGCATTTCCTATCCTCCCTGTGAAGTGTGCTCCAGTGCAGAACGTGCTCCCCTCAGGGAAGCAGCCAGCCTAGGCATGGGCTCCAGACAGGAGCTCCTCACGGACGAAATGCATTCGCGATCAGACGCTCGCAGCTGGAGGAGCAAGTCCACAGTGTTTCATTCCTTTTGAGAGTCTCCGAGCTGAGCTGAGCCGCAAGGCTTTGAGCTGTTCTGCAGCAGAGGTGTGCGGTGTCCAGCACCGGGTGGCTGCCACAGGCCCTCACTTCACTGGAGGAGCCTCTGCCATGGGCCGAGGTGCCTGGGAGGAGGGTGTCACGCAGCTGGAGCCTTGGGCAGGATCCCCGAGACAGCGCAGGATCTCATCCACGGTGCTTTGAGTAGCTGAGGGGCGGGGCGGGGGATGGCCAGGCCAAGTGTCTCCAGGACTGGGCCACGCGATCGTGCCGAGGGGATGTTGTGGCCTGCATGCTGCAGGTGTCCACCGCGCGACCGTGGGCCTTGTCCCTGCATGGCAGTGGGGTGCTGGGGGACATACACGCACTTCCTGCTCCCAGACACACAGGCTGGGCAGATGGTGACCTCATTGCTGGCCCACCCTGGAGGGCAGGCAGCGTGGATGTGAGTGGTGTCGGTGGGTGACTGGACCGTGTCTGGGGACTTAGGGGCACTGGAACCCGCAGAAAGAACTCTAGATATCCAGGTGGCCCGACGCAGAAGGCTCTGCATTCCCTCAGTCCTCTGAGGTGTGGGTCAGATATGGTCAGGACACAGGGAGGGAGCCAGTTCTGGGTGCTTCGATGCTGGACTGTGGCACCATCTCCTGCCACCTAACCTGTGGGCAGATGGACTGTCCAGTCTTCTCAGCCTTCCAGTCTTGGCTCATGTGCTATCTCCAGGTCAGGGGACCCCATACCACTGTCACGGGGGGCAGTGGGCTTAGTACAGGATGTGCATACCCAGCCCTACACCCCAATTTTATTTTAAGACAGATTCTCACTAAGTCACTTACTTACCTGGGCTGGGCTAGGATTTGAGATCTTCCTGCCTCAGCCTCCCAGAGTGCAGGGATCACAGCCTGTGCTGCCACGCCGGGCTCCACTGTGGCCCATGTGCAGCTGTACAAATCTGATGCGTGCAGTGAGGTGCCCCTTACCCACAGGCGACCCCCTCTCCTGCAGGGATGCAGCACCAGGCCTTAGACAGACTTCCCGGCCCTTGGGCGGTGCCTGCGTCTACACCCTTCCGCTGATGGTCACTGGGCTTGCTCAGGACCCAGGTCTGCAAAGCAGGACCAGCTCTGGCTGTGGTTCCCCATGCTATGGCTCTGGGCTTCCTGGTGCCCCCTGCTGGTCAGGGCCACATGTGTGCTACCCATGAGATCCTGCTAGGGTCCTGGCCCTGCAAACCTGGCGCTGCTGTGGAACTTGTCTCTCTCCCATCCTGGCCGTGCCTCTAGCAGCTCAGGGTACCTGCTGGCCAGCCCTGGTCACAAGGTTGAGGATGGGCCTGCGCTTGGAGCCAGGGAAGAGTGCTGTGTGGCAGCGGCGAAGCCTCCACGGGGCAAGCTGTGTGCATCTTGGGCGCTCAGAGCCCAGCAGATCTCAGAGGAGGGCCTGTGCCGGGCTCACGTGCGAGCTGGTAAGACAGGCCAGAAACAGGGCCCAAGCGGGGCTGAAGCGGCAGCCTACCCTGCCACCGTGTGCTTCTGGGGCCTGGTGCCTTTTGGCCCTGGCTGGGTGCAGGCCTGGCTCTGCCTGTGCAAGCACAAGGTCCTCACAGTGACCAAAGCCTCGCTGGTCACTTGTCCTTGTACACAAGGACGGAGAACCTAAGACGGATGACCCTGTTGCCCCAAGTGGCTGGTTGTGGTCACCTCCAGATGTCTGTGCACTGGCAAGACACAGCCTGGGTGGAACGTGAATCCTGCCAGCAGGAACAGCCCTTGCCCACGGGCCTGACAGGTGCAGGGTGTGGCCTCCTGATAGCCGTGTCCCCGGGATGCGGTCCCCGAGCAGCCTGGGCCCCGCCCCCGCCCAGGTGTTCCCTGTGCCTGGGAAGGGCGCCGGAGCATGGGCTCTGCCCCTCGGTCCCACTCTTTGCTGGGGTTTCAGGCAGGCACAGATGAAGGTCATCAGAGTCACTCAGTGATGCAAAAATGGGTCTTGAAGCCTGTATACATTTAGAAAGCAGTGTTTCTCAAAGGAAAAAATACAGAAATTCTATCTACTTTTACAAGTTTGCTGCAGATGTTCCTTTAAAAAATTTTCAGCTTAATAGGTCAGAGATCTGAAAATGTGGAGCTAGTTGGATAGTTTTTTGAGTTCATGTTGTGAAAAATAAAGATGTTTATTTCTTTGTGCCTTTAAATTTAAAGACGGAGGTCGACAACAAATGCCCCAAATTAAATTTCACTTCTAAATGGCAAGCACCTAGGACACAAGAGGAGTGGAGAGGTGAACTTGGGTGAAGAGAGGGTCAGGAATGCGAGTGCGGAGGGAGATCTGTGCTCATGGTGCCGCCTGCTCGCTGGGCCTGGGCCTCGGGCCCTTGCGGCCATCTGCTAAAGCTGGGCTTGAAGGAGGACACGGAAGGAGGGACACAGACACACGCATGCACGTGCCCAAGTTGTCCCAGCAGCACCTGACGATGATGTCCTTATGGGACGTCCCTAGGGCAGGGGGATGTCCAGGCCTAGCGGCCTCCGGCCTTGCCTGCCTCTCCCTGTGGGGCTCAGCTCTCCTGGTGCATCATCCCTTGTGTGTGTGTGTGTGGGGGGGGTCCCTACATCCCCAGGCATCATGGAGAGAGACTCTGCCCTTGTCTGCTGAGACCAGGGTGGCGTCCAGCCAAACCCAGACTGGCGAGGCTGAGCCAGTGATGTACTCCTGTGCCTCACCCAAGCCAGGATGGCACAGCAAGCAGACTGGCCTGCCTAGCAGCTGCCTGGTGCCGTGCTCAGCCGCAGACGCCAGACTTCACTGAGGCGGTGCTGTCGTGTCTTCACCATGGGGAGACTGAGGCACAGCAAGGCAGTCTCCACCTGGCAGGCTGCAGACTGGGGGTGGGGAGCCACCCAGCACCACGTGGCTCCCACTGAGGGGTTGCCAGCCCTTTGTTCCAGCTACAGGGACCTGGAGAACCCCCAGGCCTCTGGTCCTGCCCCCTCTTCCTGAGTGGCTTTCACCAGCGGCTCCAGAGCCTCAGAAGACCTGGCCAGTGGGGACAGCATGGGCCGTGGTGGTTTCTGTGTTGGCCAGGAGTGGGGGAACACTGACAGCTCGCCCCGAGTCCAGGGGACCCAACCCAAGGCCCCAGGCGCGCAGTGCTTTTTGTTTTTTGTTTTTAATTCTAAATGTCGCAGGGGACTAGTGCAGCTAGAGGTGGTGACCAGGACCTGCCAGGTTCCCATAGGAACCGCTTCCAGCCCAGGAGGAGCCCAGGTCCCCCAATGCCCTGGGCTGATACAGTGCAGCTCTGCGCTCTTCTCCGGCCAACGCGCCTGGGAACCCGGGTCTGCTCCGGCCCATGCGCCTGGGAACCTGGGTCTGCTCCGGGGTGGCTTTCTTTGCGTTTGCTTCCCCTAGCTTGACAGTAAATTGGAGAAGGGAGGTTATTGGTCAGGAACTTCATATGTGGAAAACAGCCACAGAGCCTGTCATCCCGATGCTGTGGGAGGCTGTGGCAGGAGGATCACAAGTTCAAACCCAGCCTGGGTAACTTAGCAACTGAGTATGATCCAGTTTCAAAACACTTTAAAAATGGAGACTGTGGGTGCAGTTCAGTCCTCAGCACCCACCCGCTGCCCCAAAGTCGACTTGCTCTGCAGGGCCTTCCGGCGGTCCGTCCGGCCCTGTGTGTGCGGAACGCCCCACCCTGCTCTGTTCCAGCCAGCCGCTAGGTGAGGTCAAGCTGCTTCCCGTCAGGAGCTGTGCAGGAGGCTCGACCTCTGCCGTGTGAGCTCGCGCTGCTCAGCTTCCACCAAATGCTCCATGCAGGGCAGTTCCAGCTTCTGGGGTGGTGGGGGCACGGGTGTTACTTGGGGTTTCCCTGGAGCGCAGGGAGCTCATCACATTGCTCCAGGTCCATCCACACATGGTTGGTTGGTGGCCGTCGATTGGAGCTGTTGAGTAAGAAATGGCACACTGCAGGATTTGGGGGCAGGCACTGGGGATGAAACCCAGGCCTTTGCCCTGAGCTGCAGTCCCAGCCCTCTTTAAATTTTTATTTGGAGATAAGATCTTGCTAATTGACTAAATCGCCCAGGCTGGGCTTGAATTTGTAAATGTGTGCCCCTCCGGCCTGCAGCCTCCCAGAGTGCTGGGTTACAGGCCTGGGCCATCCCGACAAGCTGATATTTTAAAAATCATTAATGGACGCTGACTTTTATTGGATGCTTTTTCTCTATCAGTTGAGACATTTAGATGGATTTTCACGGTTCATGTTGTTCCCAAGATGCCTCACACTGGCTAATTTACATAGGCTGAGGCATCTTTGCTTCCTGGGGGTGGAGCCCCCCTCAGTGGGGCTTGGCAAATACTCCCCAGTCGCTGCTGAGCTGGGCTTGCTGCTGTTTTACTGAAGAGCTTTGCGTTCATGTTCATCAGAGATGCGGGCTGGTGGCTCTCTCCTCTTGTGCCATCTCCTGTCTTTGGTGCTGCCTGCACAAACCATGTTTGGAATGTTTGCATTTTGTATGAGAGCTTGACCACGAAGGCACGAGTCTTTTCATACCTCGTAGAACTTTCTGTGACCCTGTGTGCTCCGGGCTGCTCTTCGTGGTGAGAGCCAGCCCCCCCCCCCCTTTCCAACCTGGTGCTGTTTCCCTTGGTTCAGCCTCAGGGGCTTGGGTGTGTCTAGAAGCTTCTTTCTCCCATGTCACCTGGTTTTCTGGAGCTGGAGTGTTGGGAACAGTGACTGGGACCTTCAGCTTAAGGCTCATTGTTTCCAGTGTGTTGTGCAGATGTGTGCTAAGACCACAGGAGCATCGTTTCAGTGTGCTGTGGGGTCACCTGCTTTTCCCTGCCAGGCTGATCGCGCTCCTTTGGCAGTGCCCTGTACCCGCCCGGGAACGTTAGCAAGGTGCCTCCTGATCGATTGTGAGAAGACGCCAGGAGCTGCTGTGGTCTCGCTGCGTAGCGTGTCTGCTCTTCTCACGCAGCTGCGCGTCCTGAGTCGGGCAGAAGGGAGTGCGCAGCCCCGCTGACGCAGTGTGTCTTTCCCTCCCAGCCACGCGATGATGGATCTGCTGGTGGAACTCTGCCTCGAGAACCACCTGAACCCTTCCCACCACGCGCTGGAGGTCCGGTCTTCAGAAACCCAACAGCCTCTGAGTTTTAAGCCAAATACCTTGGTTGGGACCTTGAACGTGCACACGGTGTTTCTGAAGGAGAAAGTTCCAGAGGAGAAGGCGAAGCCCGGCCCCCGCAAGGTGCCTGAGGTCAGTGGGCGCCGTGAGTTGCCTGAGGAGGCCAGTGGGTGGTGCCCTGTGGGAGGGGGCTGTGGGCAGGCTGGCGGTGGCTCCTGTGGGCTGGGAAAGCTTAGGCTTAGACTAGCCTCTTGAGCCGGAGCTTTCAGAATATGCCCGTGTACTCCGCTATAGCAGACCAGAGAGTGCGGGGCAGAGCCGCCACCCCTCCGCTGGGAGGGGGCGTGGCCCGCAGCACTGCCACTGGTGCCTTTGAGCCCCGGAGCCGTGGCAGGTATGCAGAAGCAGCCGTTTCCAGTTTCACAGACTTCAAATGAATTGGCCAGTATGTGCCCCAGCAGGTCCAGCAGCCCGAACTTCTGCCAGCCCCGGCAAGCAGTGGTCATCCGAATAGGATTTTACCTTCCTGTTCAAGAGTGAGATAGAGAAAGAAGGGGGCTTCTTTCTGAAAACTTGGTGTGAGAAACATTTAGGTGTTGTGTTTGGGGAACATGTACCTCAGCCTTCCAGACAGCTGGAATTACAAGTGTGTGTGCCCCCAGGAGCTGCCTGAATTTATATACACATGCTACACACATACATTTTAAGTTAGAAACACACCTATCTTTTGCAAGTACCAGACGTATACTAGGAAGAGAGACAACCAGTCTGTCTAGGGCTGGCCCCGCCTGCCGAGGACACGGGGTCCACCAGAACCCGCGGCGGTCCACGCCCCCAGGCTCCGTGGGTCAGCACTGCTGATGAGCATGCGATGCCGCCGGGCAGCGGTGGACACAGTGTCCAGGGGCCGCATCGACTTCAGCTTTACTTCAGCTTTCTTCTTGGTGACAAGAACTAATTGCACCTTCTCCTTGTGCTTTCTGAGAAGCTCTGAGACGGGTCTTTTGGGGCCATTAAAAGAAGTGGGGCTTCACTCTTAGATTCCTGGAAGCTGTGCTAAATCGTCCTGCTTTTTATTTTTATTTTTATTTATTTATTTTTAAAAAAATTTTATTTATTTATTTATGTGTGTGTGTGTGTGTGTGTGTGTGTGTGTGTGTGTGTGGCCAGCTCAGCCCACCAGGGGGCAGGGCTGGCTGGCATGTGGTGCTGGGGGATTGAACCGCGGTCCCTGTGCTTTGCTAAGCTTGTTCCAAGTAGGTGCTTTAGACCACTGAGCCATCTCACCAGCCCTGTCCTGCTTTTTAAAATGAGAATTTGGCTGGCACTTATCTCCCATGCTTCTGTGTTTCAGTGATAAACGGGCGCTAAGTGGTGTCCTGTACAGCATGGCCAACACAGATGTGCTTTGTCATTGTTCACATACAGTCTGCGTTCACAGAAATGGCTCGCTCTTCCCTCCTGCTAAGTTCCTTTCACCTTCTAGCCTGTGCCACCATTGCGTGGTTCTCCTCAGAGAAGCCAGGCCCAGGGACAGGCGTGGACCTTCCCTTAGAAACTCTGTGGTTGTCATGGCTACCAAATCACCCTCCCAGGCTGGAAGGGAGCCCGAGGCCTGTCCCAGTCACTCTTGATGCAACCCTAGAAAACTGTCCACCGCTGCCCGGCGGCATGGCACGCTCATCAGCAGTGCTGACCCACGGAGCCTGGGGGCGTGGACCGCCGCGGGTTCTGGTGGACCCCGTGTCCTTGGCAGGCGGGGCCAGCCCTAGACAGACTGGTTGTCTCTCTTCCTAGTATACGTCTGGTACTTGCAAAAGATAGGTGTGTTTCTAACTTAAAATGTATGTGTGTAGCATGTGTATATAAATTCAGGCAGCTCCTGGGGGCACACACACTTGTAATTCCAGCTGTCTGGAAGGCTGAGGCAGGAGGATCATGAGTTCAAGGTCAGCCTGGGCAACTTACTGACTTAGTGAGGCCTCATGTCAACATAAAGAACTAAACAAGGGAGAAAGAAGTGGTTCAGCATGAGGACTCTGGGTTTAATCGCCACTGCTGAAAAAATTATATGTGTGTGTGTATTGTCTGTATGTGTTTTATATACACGTATAGAGTACTCTGTGTGTATTCATGTAGACATACAGGTGTAAATACCCACATCCCTATGTGGATATTTTGACCTAAAAATGTGGTGCTTTGTTTTGTGAGAGTTAGTTTTTCTTAATGAAGTCATTCACATTACATCCAAACAGTTTTCCCTTAGCAAGCGCCGCAGCCCGTCCAGAGAGGCGGCACATGTGTTGGGTGTCAGCTTCAGAGCGCTCCCGCTGGTCACCCTGTGCAGAGTGACTTGCCTCACAAATGAGGGCGGCTGAGCTGGGGCTGCGACTGCACCCTGCTGGTCGTGGTGCGCCACCCCGGGGAGAAGGGCCATGCTCCCCACCCCCCAGGCTGGGCTCTGGGATGCCCCTCAGGGAGCGCCGCTCTGTGCCTTGCAGAAGTCCGTGCGCCTGGTGGTGAACTACCTGCGCACGCAGAAGGCGGTGGTGCGCGTGAGCCCCGACGTGCCGCTGCGGAGCATCCTGCCGCTCATCTGCGCCAAGTGCGAGGTCAGCCCGGAGCACGTGGTCCTGCTGCGTGACGGTGCGGCCGGCGAGGAGCTGGAGCTGTCCAAGTCCCTCAGCGAGCTGGGGATAAAGGAGCTGTACGCGTGGGACAACAGGAGAGGTGAGGCCCTGCGCAGGCACCACTGTGCAACCCCCCCCCCCCGCGGACGCGCCCCCCCCAGACGCTTGCCCACATCCACGCACGTGCAAACGTGCGCAGCTCGCTGGCCTCCAGTGCTCTCTGGGCACCTCAGAGCGTGTCCAGGGCTGAAGTGGGCAGGGAAGGAAGCCGGCTCGGGTTCGCGCCTCCTGCTCTCCGTGACGCCTCTTTCCTCCCAGCTGTGAGCGCGGCTGTTGCCTTCTGTCTCCTTTTGAGCTTTCTTAAGTAAAGGACGAGAAAAGATGAGGAGAAATGAGACCTTCTGCTCTGACTGCTCAGAAACCACGTGCAGAGCTCTCTGAATGTTTCTTCTCGGTTCTCAGCGCTGCCTCTGGGTCCGAAGACGCTGTTCCTGTCAAGTCAGAGTTGCACAGGCTCTGGCTCCTCTAGCGCCGGTCACCTTGCAGCCCACAGATCAGTCTCTGGGGCAGCAGGGGGACAGACACAGGTCCCACCCAGGGGCAGGGTGGGTGGTGGCCACGGGTCTCGAAGCAGCCCTCACTCTCCTTCTGCCCTTTCCAGTTCTGACCAAAACACAGTCTGCACCATCCCTGAGCTGCCGAGGTACTGTGGTCTCAGGCTGCGCTGTGCATGCCTGGGCCCTGGTGCCGGCCTGTGCGCTGTGGGTGTCGCTTGCGGCACTGTGGGGAGGGTTGCTTGCTTGGTGCTGCTGTGCTTTACCACATGAGGCCCTGGAGAAGGGGGTGAGGCCAAGGAGATGGCGCTGCTGCCCTGGTTGTCGGGCAGAAGGGAGCAAGGGGAGCCCCGGCACCTCACCTCTGCAGGCTCCACACGCCCAGCACCACATGCCCAGCACAGGCAAGCCTGGGGCCTCGGCCTCAAGGTTTCACCTTTCCTGCTGTAGACACGAGGCTAACCCACTCCAGACCCAGTGTGTGCCCCGACACCTGTGCCTTAGCATTCTTTGTGCATATGGAATGCGCATGCTGTGTAGAGAGAGCCGGCTGTCCCCACGTGTGGACTCCAGAAAGAGAGAATACACGTACATATCAGGGCTCTGATGAGCTCTTCAAGGTATACACACATGCACACCCCCCACATGCATGTGCACATGCACACCCCATATACACACACCTGGGCACACAACCATGCTTGTATACATCCATGCACATGCACCCCACTCTCCCACATACACACATGCATGCACACCCCTGTACATACACCCATGCACACTGCCATGTACACGCACCCCACCCACCCATCCACATACTTGCACCCCCGCCCATCACCTATGCACACACACCCCAGAAGCTTCATGAAGCCTTGTATGCTACCAGCAGCTTTGTCCACATTCATTAAAGTTCCCAGCATGACTGAATTTCTGAGCTGTGCGGCCGGTGGTGCACAAGGCGGCGCTGCCCCTGGAGGAGGTGCATTGGGCAGACCTTACTCCATAGGGTGCAGCTGCCTTGTGGCCCTGGGCGGGCAGGGCAGGCAGGGCCAGGGCAGCAGTGGCCCCTTTCCTGCCCGCATCTCTGTCTTTAGCGATGGTGGCTCAGAACCACGCAGGGACCAGAGCCAGCTGAGCCCCTCGCTCTTCCTGCTGCGCTGCCTCGGTTTGCACTTTCTGCTGGAGATGCAAATGGTTTGGGCTGCTTGGCCTTTGCAGCTTCCTTCAGCCTCCTCTGTCTCTCAGTATTCACCTTTATCATTTCATCATCTTTATTTTATTTTGTGACAGTAGGGACAGAGCCCCGGGGCTTTGCATGAGCCATATCCCCAGCCCCCATTATTATTATCCTTGTTTGAGACACAGTGTGTCTAAAGTTTGAAATTATCCAGGCTGGGCTCGAACTGGTAATCCCCCTGCCTCAGCCTTTCAGAGCACAGGGATTATGGCATACCCTTCTAAATCATTTTAATGATTAATCATTTTGATACTTTGAAAAATGAAAGAGCTTCTTGTCAATTAAAAAGCTCTTTCAGTAGTTAATTTTGGTAAACTAGAGTGAATCCAGATACAATCAGCTCTCGCTCCTCCGACCCTCTGGAGCAGGGCCACCTGCAGTTGCTCTTCCGGCTATGACTGGACAGCGGTGTCCCTGCGGGTTTTGTCTGGAGCCCCCATGGATTTCTCTTGTTGGTGCTCACGTGGTCCCATCTGTGGCATTAGCCACACCTCAGAGACCTCCCCCAGCCCACCCAGGCCAGCAGCATAGCTGTACCTCTGCTGGAAGGGCTCCTGCTGCAGCTCCACTACTCAGGTTGAGGTGGGGGCCCCATCCATCCCCAGACGCTGGGAGCGTGTGTCACCAGAATATGGTACCCCAGCTTTCATGGGTCTGCACTAGACCTGCATCTCTGGGTCAGCGGACCTCCAGGTGGTGCCCGCATGCAATCCCAGCTCGGGGAAAGAAGCAGGATTCAACTTCCCACCCTAGTTCTGCATTTGATGCCTGGTACAGTGAGCTGTGTGCAGGAAGGTGGGCCCTGTGTCAGTGTCACCCACCTACACGCAGACAGGACACCCACACCCATGCCCAGTGTGCATGCTGTCAGTGCAGCCCCAGCGCACTGGCACAGACGGGGGCCAGCTGGCGCCTGCTATAGAGCTGTCACTGCGCTGCCCTTTGCAGTTCTTCCCCGTAGCAGAGGGTCTGCTGCGGCTCACTCACAAGTGCGCGTGCGTGCATGTGCCTGCGGCTGCATGGTTGGATGTGAGGTGGCGTGGACCCACTAACCTGGCCGTCACCCAGCCTGAGCGATCCTCCCTCACCATGCCCGCGGGTGTGCGTGCCTGTGTTGCAGAGTTTTCCCGGCTTGGTGCTCTCTAACGTGCTGATGGGTGCCTGGTCTCTAACTCCTGCATGAGATGCTCATGTGTGGTTACTATGTTCGGGTTGAAGTACTGACAGCAGTTTGTTGAAACCCCACTGCGACTGTCCATGGATGGGCCAGAGGGCTGGCTTCATGTCTGTCCTTGGGGATGGCTCTTTCCACCTTCTGGTCCCAGTGCAGCTGCAGCCTTGGGAGAGGAGGGGACCTGTGAGTGCCCAAGGCCTGGAGTGGCCTTTGTTCAGACAGATGATTCAGAATATCCAGGATGCCCCCACAGAAGGAGAAACTGAGGCTGGGGGACAGCGCCGTGTGTGGCGCCTGGCGTCTCCCGGGGAAACAGCCCTGACTCACCTGGGTTTCCACTCCTGGTTCCCACACCCCTGGGATCATGGTTCTCCCAGGTCCCCTCAGGGCCCAAGCCACGGGTCCTGCTGCCCAGGAGTGGATGATGAGAAACCAGGAAGGGGAGCAGGACTGAGCACAGAGCTAAAGAATGCGAGAAGGAAGGGAACAGGGAGCAAACCATTGCCCCCTAGCGGCGGCTGCAACCAGCAAGGCCGGTTCCAGGGCAAGGCCTAGAGATGGGGCCCTCTGTGCCCGGCCCACCAGGTGCTAGAATCGAGCAGGAGAGCTTGCGACAGCTGCACCTCACCCCTGACCGTTGTTTATTTTGTGGTAGCAGGGATGGCCCAGGGTCTTTGTACTGAGCTGTGTCCTGCCAGCGTTTTCGGGATATAGCAGGTGATGTAAAATTATAATTGCAATCCCTCACATCTGGATACTTAAATGCAGCTGCGATCACATAGAGCACCAGGCCCTGGCTTGCATTAGCTTTCTCTTGGACTCTCGTGGGCTTATCTGGTTTTTCATTCTCCAAATGGAAATGTCCACCCGGAGAAAACGAGGCCTCCACCCTATAGAGGCTGAGTAAGGCATTCCTGCCGCTCCCTGCGGTGCCGGAGGCTTTCAGGCAGCTAGCTGTTGGGGCTGTGAGAGCAACAGCTGGAGGCTTTCCCGCTCAGAAGAATTCCTGCTAGTTTAAGGGCAAAAGATTCATTTATTGCAGTGTTTTTAAAAAGTGAAACGACCGAGCCTCCTTTCAGGTGCTGAGAAGTAACTTACTTGCTCCTTTTTTTCCAGAACCGCTTAGGAAATCATCCCTTGGCAACGATGAGACAGATAAAGAAAAGAAAAAATTTCTGGGATTTTTCAAAGTTAATAAAAGAAGCAACAGTAAGGTAATGAGTTATGCATGCATGCAATTTGGGGTTGTGTAAAACAGTTTCCTGGGATGCTTGTACTGAGCCTATCTTGGACTGTTTCTGAATAGTTACGCCTACAAACAGGAATTCCTTCAGGTCAGAGGAGTGCACAGAGATCTCCACCTGGACCCTGGAGTGAGGAATTGTCTCCCGTGTTTCCTGCCTGGTGGGCTCTAGGGCCAGGCGGTGATCAGGTGCCCGGGACAACCTGGCGGTGCTTGACCCCCAGCACAGCCAGTGGGTGGATGAATCAGAGCAGTTGCAAATATAGTAGTCATGAGGGTGTGTGTGTGTGGCGTAAGCTCTAATCCCAGCTCTGGAGGGGCTGAAGGTGGAGGCCTTGAGTTCAGGGATGAGACCTTGTCTTAAAAAAAAAAAAAAAAAAAAAAAAAAAAAAAAAGGTCTACATCCCTATAAGTATTTAAATAATTTAAAGCCATAGTACAAAAAGTAAAAACAAAGATTTTTTTAATGATGAGCTATGAGTCCCAAAACCATACGTTCTCTAAGTACTCAGAAAGGAATCTGGTCATTACCCATAATAAGCATCCTGCCTATGGGTCGTGTCAGAGTTTGACAGAGATATGGTGGATGTCTAGATTTTCAAGAAGTTATTCCCATGAGACACGCACTGCCATGAACAGCCCTCTGGATCCGCCCCAGTTCAGGCGCACTCATCCCACACCTCTGCCACTTTCTGCAGCCACTCTGGAGTCGTCCTTGTCCTTAGTTGTGCTGTCGTGGCTGTCTCGATGTCCACTTCAAAACATTTCCCTTTCGTGGGCAGTGTGACCTTGGGGAGGAGCCAGAGGTCACGGGCGCCTCAGCTGAGACCGAGCTGGGCGCCGCCGCAGCGCCTGCTTGTGCGAGCTGCCTTTCTGTTGGCTGGTGCTCGGCGGAGGCGTGGACTGTGTTTCTGGTCACACCCCATAGAGACCTCGGGAAAGAGCAGCCCGGAGCTGCTGCAGGACTCGGCCAGCGGGCTGGGCGAGCGTTGGGAGGGGGCCTTCCGGGAAAGGTTCGTGGCAGCGCGTCTTTCACGGCAATCAGTATCTTCAGTGTAAACAGTGACCCACACTCGGATCGCCTGTGTATTAGCGACACCTAGGGCTGTTTCCTCGCAAACAAATGAGACAAGAAATGACAAAACCATTGTGTGTGCTGTTGCGTGTGTGGCTTAGTACGGGCAGCTCAGCTGGGACAGGTCACCACGCGAGTACTCAGGCCAGTGGAGCAGCGGTCCCCATCCCCGGGAGCTGGGCACCTGCCCTGCACCTGCCGACTCCTGGGCAGCCAGCCACCTTGTGCTCACCACATACACCTGTGCTCTCACCCTGTCTATGTCTATGGGGAACTTCCCCCCACTCCCCCTTCCCTCCGCTTCCCTTCCCCTCCCTGCCCTTCCTACCCTCTCCCTCCCTTTCTCCGCTCCCTCTTCTCCTCCCCCTTCCCTCCCC